AATTATTTAACTGTTTAAGAGTTCATTATGCGACCTTAAGCCAAATATAAAACAAAAATCTTACCTTTGCAGCGAGCAGTGATCGTCTCAGATATACCGTACTGAAGACATGACAGATGTGAGGCATGTCATGTCAGTGTGCTTGTGCCAGAGTGAAGCGTCGTCGGAAGGAATAGGACGACAGGGATTGCTTCCTCTTCCTTCTTTTCCACACGTCCTTCCAGATAAACACTTCTTGTTCCAACCTCACCTTCACATTCTCAATTCATGGAATCCAACATGAAATTAAGTATGCTGATTGACTTGGAATCCTGTACCACTTCAAGTAATGTCATCAGAGAATGCTCCATCCATGCTAAAATAGGTTGAAGATGAGACGTACCTTAAATTTAGAGTTTGATGCGACTTCTCAGATTCTCCTGTTCAAGGCTCAGAGTGCCGAGAAGAAAAGGGGTGAGAGAAGTGGCTTCTCCCGGCTTCTCTCAGCCTTTTTATGATGATCACCACCCCCAGGATGTAGATTGGCGGAGTTTTTTTAAGTTTCGATAGTTGATGTAGTATAGAAAGAGATAAAAAGTCCTTTGAAGAAATCTTCATGATGGGCGGACGGTGTCAGCCAATTCCATAATTTATACTGACAATGAAGTAACTTTGTACACTGAAGATTTTTTTAGGCAGAAATTGATCAGAGTGCAGCTGCATTGCTTGAGTGGAATCTGTGTGTTCTTTATCCTGGCATCTATTTTCCAAAGAACACTCACTTCACATTCTTATTGACCTCCAAGGACTTCCTTGTACGGAGGTGGCCTCGGCAGACGCAGGGAAGATGTGTTAGAAGATTCCCAGTTCTGCATTCTTGAGGAATTTTCAGTTTTCTCGACGTGGACGGGAATGACGGTGGCCTTCTGCCGTGCATCTTCTTCCTGAAGAAGGAAGAATTTCAGATTGACATTTCACAAAACGATATCGTATTTCATTTTACTTGTATAACTGCAATTCAATTAAGATCCCAACCAGTAGATACTTACAACTTCTGGCACATTGATTATGAGGATTCCATCCGAAGACATGACAGATGTGATCGCTGTCATGTCAGTAAGATGAGGCAAGGAAAATCGTCTTCTGAAGGAGTGTGCAGACATGGAGGATCTTCCCTCTTCCTTCTCCATACGTCCTTCCACCACCAGTTCCTTCTCACCTACTACCTTCACCTTCACATCTCCACCCATGAAGTCGTGCATATCCAGAACAATCTGTGAGATTAACTCCTCAGTAACCAAGTGTATAATGCAGCTGTGCATGCCTTGTGTGAGTGTTTTCAATGTTATCTATCATTTGCCACTGACCATTTTTTCTTTATAAACACAAATTTCATTTCAGACATTGGGGCTTTGTTAACACCTTAATTAACCTCTACTCCATTGATTTGAGTTCATCAAGCTTTCTTTGCTGTTTTATTTTTCATAATACATTCATATTCCTATATTCACGAAATTTAGAGTTGCTGTGTCAGAGAAGTGCAGGATTTTGGTTTGCCGTCAGACTGCAGAGGTTGAGAACCACTTCTCTGAATAAAATCAATTTCGCTATATCTCACATTATGTGTGTGTGCGTGAGTTTGTGTGCTTGTGTGAGTGTGTGTGAACGCCTTACCTTATGACTAGAGCTGTCTGAAGTCACTGTGATGGCCTGGTTCTCTTCCTTCCTGTTACGAGAGCGAAGCTGTCTGTACCGCCCCATGATGTCGCTGTGGCTCCTGCGGTCCGTCAGTGTGAGGTCGTCGTCACTCCATCGGTTCAGAACGTCCCTGACGGCGGCGTCGAAGTCGTGCTGTATATTGGCGAAGAACGAATCTTGGAAGAAGCTTCCCCTTCGAGCGATGGGAAGGAACGTGTCCCAGGACCTCTTGGAGGATCCTCCGCACCGACGGCAGCTCACGCCAGGGGCAGAGATCTTCACGTCGTAACACTTCTGGATGGGCGCCATTACGCTCACTAGATTTTCAGATGAAAGTCACTTCTTTAGCCTCAGGAGGTGCGAGGATGGTCGCTCTTGTACTGAAGAGGCTGAAGACGATCCCGAGCTTTATATGCGGCATCGGAGGCGCGAGTCGGTGACGCGACGGTGTATGTATAGCGTCCGAGGCGCTGCCAAGCCTTTGAGGAGCGTGACTCAGGTCCTAAGAATCATTCTTTATTTCGTGTTCGTTGTGTCGGTCCTTTAAGGCCTTAGTCAGGTCCTTCCTTTAGCCCTATTCCGAAATTCGTATGAAATGGTTGACAGAGTCAGAACGAGTTGATGTGTAAGTCTATGAGGGAAAATGTGTTTCTTTCTATGTTTATGCTTGTGCCATTTAATGTAATTGACATCAAAGAAATAATGAAAATGGTGATAATAATACCAAGAAAAAAAATGATGAAAATTATGACGATAATAAAAAATAACGATAATAATGATGATAATGCAGATGATATTAAGAAGAAAAATAATGATGATGAAGAACAGTGTCAGTTTCGCTTCAACTGTAATAGAAACAAGAAAATGATAACGTAAAAAAAAAAAAAAAAAAAAAAAAATACGAGGCCGGGAACGATGGCTATGCTAAAGAAAAAGAAAAAAGCTAAGCTTATAGCATTGTTGATTATAATTTCATCGACAGTAATTTCATTCTTACCACTGGCATTAGCATCAGTGTTGTTGGTGTTATTTTTCTATTTTTGTTTTGTACTTTTGTCATCGTTATCGTCATCGTTGTTATTATCGAAATCATTACCATTTTTTTATTATTTTCTCTCATCATAGTTTTTTTTTTATTTTTTTTTTTTATTTTAAGAATTACCTTATTTGTTAGTATCAATATTACTATTAGTATCAGTATTGCCACCATTATTACCAGTAATAATACTAATAGTATTGGTATTGCTAACGCTATTATTTTTATTGTTATAATCATTACTGTTATTATTATCATCTTTCATATTGAAATACTATTACTATTATACTTATTGGTATAATGACAATTATTAATATCATTGTCATCATTATCATCACCATCATCATTAGCAGTAACACTAATAGTATCAATATCATCATGTTATGATCATTGTTACTATTCTTATTCTTATTCTCATTATTATTCTTAAAATTTCCATAAGCATTGTTCTTGTTATAATTTCATTTTCATTTCCATCGTCAATAACATCATTGTGATCAAAATATCATCATTACTATGACTATTATCATTCTTATTCATATTATTCCTCTTCCAAGTCACATCATCATCCTCATTTAAGTTAATCATTTGCTCTTCATAAGTGCCATTGACTCGACCACAGAAAGAAAAAAAATCATTCACAGCCGAAGGGAGTGGCACGCAGTACACCATTTGGAAAAGAAGCTGAATTCGTCAAATTATCTATTACTTCAAGAGGAAAACGGTAATATCACTCATGAAGGCAAGGAGAGGAGGAGATATATATAAGGTTTAAGATACAAAAAACGAACATGTAATATCCTTTCCTTCCTTTTTTGTTTATTTCTATTTTTGACGGACAGAGGGAGAGAGGTAGAGAAAGAGAGATGAAGATATATTAACTATATATATATATATATATATATATATATATATATATATATATATATATATATATATATATATATAGAGAGAGAGAGAGAGAGAGAGAGAGAGAGAGAGAGAGAGAGAGAGAGAGAGAGAGAGAGAGAGAGAGAGAGAGAGAGAGAGAGAGAGAGAGAGAGAGAGAGAGAGAGAGAGAGAGAGAGAGAGAGAGAGAGAGAGAGAGAGAGAGAGAGAGAGAGAGAGAGAGAGAGAGAGAGAGAGAGAGAGAGAGAGAGAGAGAGAGAGAGGAGAGAGAGAGAGAGAGAGAGAGAGAGAGAGAGAGAGAGAGAGAGAGAGATGGGGCATTAAGCGATCTCCTACGAATACTTGATCCAAGCTTTTATGTTGTCAGCTATGGGACACCAAACGTCGTGCCACTGATACACACATACATATTATATACACGCACATATATTTCTGTGTGTACTGTAGATATGTAGATACAGAAATGGACATGTCTGTATATCGTATATGGGTAAGTATGTATTCATATGTGTGTCGACATCCATGTATATTTGAGCTTTACTCACTGTTCTAATAATTTTTTGTATAAACGCATAGGCTTATATATGTATAAGACTTATATATATATATATATATATATATATATATATATATATATATATATATATATAAATGAGTGTGATTGAAAAAATACGTACACATTTTGTCAGGGTTGGAGTTTCCATGAAACATCCACATTCATTACCATATTTATTTAGAAAAACGGTATATTTTCAGTAATGTAAAAAAACAACATTACATTTACAAAGGACACATGTACATAAACGTTTCACATAATCTTTTAATACCAAAAATATATTTTAGAATAGATTACGGTCTATAGAAATTGCAGCTCTCAGGAAACCAGTGCAGACTGGTACTTATTGCACAGCTTATGCTTGATGCAGGAACCGGTTCTGAATCTTGGGATCCTGAATCCTCAAAGTCTCCAGCGCCCTTCAGCCCTCCACCTCTGCCCATGCCAGGATAGGACTCCATCCTACTGGGCACTCCTGCGGTCGCGCTGGCCAGGGGCGTCTCCCTTCTTCTCGGAGACGATCGTCAGGATTCCGTCCGAGGACAACACGCAGCTGACGGCGTCTCGCTCGACGAGCTCAGGCAAGGCGAAGCGACGCACGAAGCTCACTCGGGACACTCTGCCTCCGTCCTGCCTCTCTGCTTGACCCTCCACCAGCAGCTCCTTTCCTTCCACCAACCGCACTGTCACGTCGCCGCCAAGGAAGTCCAACACGTCCATCACGATCTGAGGAGAAGTACAGGTTAGGCGGCTGCTTAAGGCGCTTAATGCTATGATATGATGAACTGAGTCATTGGAATGAAGTCAACACGTCCCTCACAATCCTTTGGCCAGCCATGTGTGATAAATAATGACATATGATAAAAGAAGCGACACCTAACAAAGCCATGAATTACCTGATGTGATTCTGAATCCTCTGAGACACCTACTGCTTGATTTTCTAAACTGACTTTCTGCTGACGAAGTTTCCTGTACTTGTCCAAGGCGTCACTTCCACAGGACCATTCATTGGCCTTTTCCAAAACTTGTCTCACAGCCTGACTGTAGTTACGACGAACATTCTCGAAGCAGCAATCGTCAGCAAACAGGCCCTTCCTGACGATGGCCAAGTTCCTGCTTTCGCAATCCAATCCTGAACTCTTCAAAGCACACTTGCTCCTGGAATCCCCCGCTGAGGATTCCCTCTTCCACGCATGTGAATCTTCATCATCCCCGAAGGAAACGCCATAGGAATTTCCAGGCCGTCTCACGATGAATGTGTATCCTTCCTCGTCGTCATCGTCTGACGTGGGGCTCAGCAGGTCTGCAGATGAGCCTTTCTTTTCAGCTTCGTCTGGAGACACGAGCACATCTGCCGGGCTTCCTCCGTGACCGGCGCGAACTGCCTCTTCCTCCTTACTTTCCAACTGAACTGGAACAACGGCTTCCTTCCTTTGGCACTTCTGTGGAACAAAGCAATGTGTCAACAATGGCTTATCGTTATTATACATATTATTTTTAAAATTTGTCATATGTGTCATGAGGTAAATAGAATTGGTGATCATAAAAGAAATCTACAACAAAAGGAATATGGTTGATGGTGAAATTGCATAATTTTGAAGATAGATATTTGAGTTGAAAGATTAGAGGAAATTCCAAAGTAGAGCCACCTTCTTCGGAGCCGAAACTGTCAGCACGCCGTCAGAAGACATGACCGAAGTGACGGCCTCCACCTCAATGTCTCCAGGAACAACGAAGCGCCGAAGGAACTGCTTGCTGGACTTGGAACCGTCTTCCTTCTTCTCCAAGTGACCTTCGACCACCAACTCTCGCTCGTTCACAGCCTTCACGCTGACCTCGCCACCGTCCATAAAATCATGAACATCCATAACAAACTGAAAATACATGGAAAGGTTAATCAACATTTACAAATTTATTTAACGGAATTCATTTTATTTCTAAAAAAAAAAAAAAAAAAAAAAAAAAAAAAAAAAAAAAAATCAGAATTTCCCTAAAGTGAATAGAATTTTCGACGTATGGAAATGTTTTTCTCAGTGGCCGCTAAGAAGGGACTTCGAAGCCACTCACCTTATGACCTGTTTTGTCTGACGTGACAGTGACGGCGAGGTTTTCTTCCAGGTGACGGGATCGAAGCTCTCTGTATCGCTCCAGGATATCTTTGTAGTGAAAACGTCGTCCCAAGTGTCTGTCCACTCGAGCTCATTGCTGCTCCACCTGTTCAAGACCTTCCTTATGGCGGCGTCAAACTTTGTGTGCATGTCGGAGAAGAAGGAGTCCTGGAAGAAGCTTCCTCTTCGAGTAATTGGTAGGAATTCATCCCAGAATCTTTGGCGAGAAATTTCCAGTCCTGTCGAGTCTAGTTCTTTACAGACGAGGTTTGATTCATCAGTGATGTCAGGGTTTGTTCTTTCAGTCGTTTTAACATTTCCTTGCTTCTCAACGCCACAAACATCATCATTAATGCACTCCTTTGAAATGTCAATTTCCACAGACCGTGGTTGAACACTGTTGACTGTGGGTACTTCTTTGGCACGACTTGGAATGTTTATGCTTTCCTTCTTTATTGTTTCACAGATAGGTTTTCGTGAGCAATTGGATTCCTCGCTGGTATTTTCAACGGAACTGGCTTCATTCTTATCCGAAGTTTTGGAAGCTGATGAGCTCTCAGCTTCTTCGAGCTTGATGGGAACAACAGTAGTCTTTTGGTGAGACTGGTCCTCCTGTTGAAACAGAAGAGGAAAGTGAGTTCGTATAGCGTGCTCCTGGTTGCAATTTGACTTTGTCTCTCTGATCTGTGAATATGATTGGTACAGGATGATGTGCTTACCATTTTCGGGGCAGTTATAGTTAGGATGCCATCTGAAGACATGACAGACGTGATGGCTGCCATATCGGTGAAAGGAGGCAAGGAAAAGCGGCGTGTGAAGGAGTGTGAGGACACGGATGAGCCTCCTTTTTCTCTCTCTCCAAACGTCCTTCCACCACCACCTCCTCGCCCTCCGCTTTCACCTTCACTTCTCCATCCAGGAAGTCGTGTACATCCACCGCAATCTGGGTATGAACATTTCTATTGATTCATGTTTATTTTTTCAAGTCTCTGTCTGATGGAGGATGTGATGTCAGATTAATTAATAGTTATATTCGGACATATTTTTGAGACTCCCAATCAATGGTGACGGTCATCACCATTTATAAACATTGGCATGAACATAGAGAAGTGGCTCACCTTATGACCCGATGTGTCTGATGTGACGGTGACAGCTTGGTCCTCCTCCTTCAGATTGAGAGATCGAAGTTGTCTGTAGCGTTTCAAAATATCGCTGTACCGACAATTGTCGTCCCA